TGGGGGTCTTGTGCTGCTTCTGCTGGGCACAGACAAGGGACTGCTCTGTGCCCCCTGGGAGCCCCTGGWAGGATCAGCACCCGGAGGGCTGCCACCTGCAGGGCCACACTGAGGAGGCAGCTGCTGCTGCTGCTGTAGCTGGAAGGCACTGTACGGCGGGGGAGGAGTTGGAGGTCGGTTCACCACTTCCTCATAAGGAGGTAGTAAATAGTTTGGCAAAAACCCTAAAAATGGGGAGGTARGGAGGAAAAATTACTGCACTGGCCACTGTCATAGGACAGATTGCAAAACTCATACCAAACATACGCATTGTCCCTTACCACCCCTCTAGCAGAGCCACCAAGCAGTAGCTTTGGCTCTTGGTTGTGGGCCGGGGAAGAGAGCTGTGAGCAAATGTGCAGAGAAAGAGGGACAGTTTGGGTTGACCTACTCCAGCTTCTTGGCATCTAAGAGCCCCTAGTGCTGCTTCGTAAGCAAGGACTTCCTGCCTACCTGGAATTAAGGCAAAGGGTTAGGCAAATGTGGTAGATGACCAAGAACCAATTTCTGCCTGGAATGGACCATGGGCACACAGTCTCATAATCTTTGCTCAGACTGTATCCTCCATCTATCCTTAGGCCTCAGGGTCAGGGATCCTAACTTAAGACTTCCTGACCACTTATTTCTTTTTCCATTCTTCCAGATATATTATATTCAGGGTCTTTCTCTGGGAAGTTAGAAATCTGTTGTCTATCTTACTCTAGTGTGGCTGGAAAGACACATCTTGACTCAAAGCAAGAACAGTGGTTACCAGCAAAGGATGAGGGGCCTGTGTCATCCAAGGCTCATTGAAAACATGCCAGGTAGGTTACCTTTTGAATGTGCTGAATACTTTAAGGCACAGATGACATAATAGTACTTGCTAGCTAAATAAATGCTAATTTATTGAGCACTTACATATGCCAGGCACTGTGCTATGCAATTAACTCTTCTAGATGTGGAATTCAAACACTTCTGACTCTTTTATTTTGTAGAATGCACTTCACAATGGCCTGGGACAAGCTGCCCAACTGGGCCTTCATGGACCATTTGAGAGGTCACATGTAAAGAACCTCAGGGAAGTTCAGGCAGTGATTCACTAAGTTTCTTGGTTCTCAGGAAGTCCCAGCGCCCCCCAACACCAATACCTGCCCCTTTGATGGGCATCCCCTCTATGAGGCACATCACATAGCAGCAAGCAAAAATGGGAGGAATTCAGGCCACTGAACACCAATTCCAATTCACTCACATTATACTCCATCTGACTATTTGCTTTAAATTTTTATTTTATTTTTTTCTGGCAAGAACCCAGGCGCTGTGAGCTCTAGAACAGACAGGGAGCTGTGAGCTCTAGAACAGGCTTCAGGGACCCACAGCCGGAATACCTGCTCMTCTGTGCTGAAGGAGATCCTAGTTCCTGTATTTGCAAGATTCTATGTAGGGTAAATGGGGGCAAATCCCCTTTCCCACAGATGCCCTGACTCTGTGCTCCTGAGCTTCTGAGGGTTGGGAATGACAGTTTTGGGTACATACTGAAATAAAATGGCAGCGCTGAGTAATTGTGGGCTTCCCGGTAGGCAATCAGGTTGATTTCATGTTGCCGCTGCTGGGCCTGAAGGCGGTGCTTGGCTCGGCGGTGGTGGCAGACACAGCAGCAGCTCAGGATGATGATGATGGTCCACACCAGCCAGAACCCTGGGGAGTTGGGAGGGTGAGACAGAGAGGCAAGTACGCATGGTGAGTACCAGCCAGAGGGGGCAACTATCAAACAAGGAGGTCCCTGGACAGTGCCCACATGGTTGAAGCTGGCACTGTTAGACCTCATCCCATTAYTTTATGTTTAAGCTATATTCATAAATGTTTTTGCCAAACCACGCGCGGAGCACACACTTGTAATCCCAATTATTTGGGAGGCTGAAGCAGGAGGATCACAAGTTTGAGCCTAGACTGGGCAAGTTAGTGAGACCCTGTCTCAAAATTTAAAATAAAAAGGGCTGGGGAAGTAACATGGTTGTAGAACAACCTTGGGTTCAACCCCCAGTACCAAGAAAAAAAAAAAAAAAAGAAGAAGAAAAAGAAAAACCAAGTTTGTACCAGAGCAAAAGATGCACAGAGAAGCATGTGAAAATGCTGACAGCACAGGAGGTCTCTCACTCCAGGGTGCCTCGGGGACCCTGGGGGAAGGGAGGAGTGCCAGGGCGTCTCTCTAGAACCACTGATTGGTCCCATGTTTTAGGTTTTGCAGGCACTAAAAATGTTCATCTATTAGGACAGTGTCCTTTTCCTCTTTTAAGGGATCTTATAGAAAACACATTGCTTTCTTGGTGCCCCTCTCCCCTCCCCAACCCAACTCAGATTAGCAATTGCAAGGGGCTTTGGAGGGATTCCTGATAAAGAAATTCTTCGGGTTCTCTCAATATCGGGGAAAAGACCAGGGCTTTTTCTCTATGGTGTAAGTGTCTGCAATGCAGAATCCCTGAAGTTGGAAGTGGAAAATTCTAATTGCCTCAAGTCAATCTCTTCCCTAGAGAGTGTAAATGATTTCCTGCACTCTCCCTCTAATCCAGTACAATTCCATCTCCCACTGCCAGCATGGACCACCTCCCCTTCAGTTTGTGGCTGCACTAGACTAAGGGCCATCGGCAGACCTCCCTTCCTCCTACTCCAGGGAGGGAAGGAGGAACAGGAGAAGGCCCACAACCCCCCTTTCTCACTATGCTGTCTCCACAAACTCCAAACTATGAAACCAGGAATAAATTAGATTTTAAAATTGTCTCTAGTTTTATTTTTACTGGCTTTTATTATTATTATTTGGTTCTAGAGATTAACCCAGAGGCACTTTACCATTAAGCTATATCCCCAAACCTTTTTTTGTTTTGTATTTTTAGAAGGGTCCCATTAAATTGCTTATGGCTGAGCGATGAGGCTAGCTTTGAACTTGTGATCTTCCTGCCTCCGCCTCCTAATCTTCTGGGTTTACAGGCAAGTGCCATCCGTACCCAACTGGATTTTAATTTATTTTTAAATGTAATAAGTTATTTTAGAAAGGTCTTTCAATTCCTCTGGTAATGAAGTAATACAATGAAATAATAGGAATAATTTTTAAATTATGTGTAAAATATTATTGACATATAAAAAGTTTGATATTAAATTAAAAATACAGATTATAAAACAATATAAAGTATGATCCCAACTTGATTCTCATTGATTTAAGGCATTTTGTCCCACCATTTCAAATGTGGGACACATATAAAAACTTAAATATAGTACTTATAATTATATAGTAATATTTATAAATTTTGGATTATGATTTCCAACCTATTTTAATGCACCTGTGTCAATTCTGTTGAAACATTCACACAATTGAAAATTTGGGATTAACTGGTGGTGGTTGTTATTATTTTCATAACTAGGGATTGAACTCAGTGGCACTTTACCACTGGGCTACATCACTAGCCCTTTTTATTTTTGAGACAGGGTCACGCTATCTTGCTTAGGGCCTTGCTAAATTGCTGAGGCTGGTCTCAAACTTGCAATCCTCCTGCCTCAGTCTCCCAAGTTGCTAGGATTATAGGTATGTGTCACTGTGTAAGGAGACTTACTGTTTTAATAAGACCAATGAAGTCCTAGAATCAGAATGATCATAGATTTAAATTAAAATATGATGTACACAAATATTCTTATATGCCAAGTCTCCATTTATCTTTTTTTATTGTTATACATGTGATTTTAATTCAATCATATAATGAACCAATTTTTGCTTTAAAAAAGTAGGACTAACTGCTGTTGTATATTACCTACATCACCTCACAATCCCTACACTTCTGAGTTACTTTGTAAATTTTTTTTTCTTTTCAGATAGGGGTCTCAGCATGTTGCCCAGGCTGGTCTCAAAGTCATGAAGTCAAATGATCTCCCACCCTCGGTCTCCCAAATAGTTAGGACTATACAGCCACTCTAGGGTTGGCATGATGGTAAACACACAGAATACTAGCTTGGGAGGCTAAGGTAGTAGGATCTCAGTTTGAGGCCAGTCTTGCAACTTAGTGAAAATAAAAACTGAAAAGTGCTGGGGACTGAGCACAGTGGTGGGGTGCTCCTGTGTTCAAGCCCCAGTACTGGGGGAAAAAATAATTACATTCTAGTCAGGTGTGGTGGTGTGTGCCTGTAGTCCCAGCTACTTTTGGGACAGCTGAGACAGAAGTATCACTTGAGCTCAAGAGTTTGAGACCAGTCAGGGCAATCTGGGCAACATAGTGAGACCCGGTCTAAAACAATAAATGAATGAATGAATGAATGAATGAATATAAAGTAGTTTCTCCCATAAGCTAATCAGTATCTATTTTTTACCCCACAAAGTCATTTTTTCAGTAGTTCCTTACCTAAAGGTGAACCAACTTCTAAGTTTTATACTGCAATACACACGCTCTAAGACATTATTTCTCAGTTTTCATAACTTTTTTTTTTTTTTTTTTTTTTGCAGTGCTGGGGGGCCTCCTGCAGGCTAAACAAGTGCTCTACCACTGAGCTATGCCCAGATGACTTCAAACTTGCCATCCTCCTACTTCAGTCTGGGATTCAGCTGGGATTACAGGCATGTACAATGAAAATCAACTTTATGCTTTTTTTTTTATTAAAGAGAGAGAGAATTTTTTTAAATATTTATTTTTAGTTTTCGGTGGACACAACATCTTTGTATATGGTGCTGAGGATGGAACCCGGGCTGCACGCATGCCAGGCAAGCGCAATACCGCTTGAGCCACATCCCCAGCCCCGAAAACCAACTTTAAAACTTCTTTTTAACCCACACACTGGTTTTCGTGTTTGTCAAATATTCCTTGTTTTACCTATTCTGGGCATTAAGTAGGCTTAAACTTCCTGGCCCCTTTTTGATTGGCTGAGACTTTGGGACTAGTTCTAAATACTGCATTGAGATTAGAAGTGACTTGTCATTGAGAGACCAGAACAATTCTTACATATGTAGGACCCTCCACTAGTCTAGTTCCCTATGCTGTGGCAATTGGCAGCATTCCAGATGGTCACTTCAGGCTCAGTCAGTCTGGGTCCCAGGGGATGCTGAAGTGGGAACAAAGATGCCATCCAACCTTCAACAGATGTGTAGTGTGAATGACAAACACATCTATTATTTTAGGTCACTAGAATTTTGGACATGTTTGTTCCCACAGCAAAACCTAACCTACTCTGACTGCCAGTGTGTGTACAGGGTTTTCTGAGGGAGAGAATTTAAAGTTATTCATCAATTCTTGAAGGAATCTTTGATCCAGAAAGATGTCACCACTTCCTACAAGTCTTTTTCTCTTTAAATAAAAAATTAGGGAGAGCAGAAGGCAACTGAGGGGAGAAATAGGACAAATGAAACACAAACTTTTGGCAAAGTTACCTTCATCACATCTAATACGGCACCAGAAAACTCCCATAGTTAGTGAAATTCCACCAGCCTACTTCTTTGTTCTGTTTTGCAGTGCTGGGGATCAACCCCAAGGCCTCCTGCACACTAAGCACATATCTTACCACTGATCTACACTTCCAGTCCTAGCCTAGTTCTTTTCATTTGATATTATGGGAAGAAAAACTATCCTTAGTGAATATCAGCTGTGTGAGGTTATATTAGTTTCAAACTGAGTTATAATTTTTTTTTTTTCATTTCTAACACAAGACCACAAGGAATTCTCTATGTGGATCAAAACTGGAAGAAAACTAACCTGGGAGCAGAATGGGTCTAGTGGTATGGCGAGTTGTCTGTATGGGTACAGAAAAGACCCCTAACAAGCTGGTCCTATTTGATTTTAAGTAAGGCAGGTGTTTGAATTTGGCCTTCAAAAATCTGACTCTCTTGAAAGTCATTTTAGTCAAAGTTGTAACCCATCAACTTTAAAAGGGAGAATAGGTAAACTAGTCCATATGGAGATTGTCAAATTTTAATCTTCTAGCTAGATTTTAAATACAAGGCAGAAAGTTTTAGAAAGTAAAACCTAGGCCAGGTGCAGTGGAGTATGCCTGTAATTCCAGGCTGAGGCAGGGGGATTGCAAGTTCAATGACAGCCTCAGAAACTTAGCAAGGCCTGAAGCAACTTAGCAAGACCCTGTCTCCAATAAAATGTTWAAAAGGGCTGGGGATGTGGCTCAATGGTTAAGCGCCCCTGGGTTCAATCTCTGGTATAAAAAAACCAAAGTAAAACCTAATTTAAGACATACATAAGAGGAAATTAGGATTGTTCTTCCCACACCCCTAAACACACATCTACCCACAGACTGTATTCCACAATGACAGCCTTTAAAGTTGTGACCTCACTGTGGGGAGCATTTACCATCCTAAGCAAAATGGAACACGTTTTTAAAAACAATCACAGTCCAATGTAGGAACTAAGCCGTGTGGCCCTGCTAGGGAGCTGAAGCATACGGACAGTCAGCTGCCCTTCCATTCCAGAGACGGTGGGTCACTTCCCTGCCCATTAGAGCGCTCAGCAGCAGGAGTTCCTGCCACTGCCACTGTGGAGAAGGCCTCGATTTAGGCAACGAAGCCTTCGGAGGCTTACGATTTCTTCGGAAAGAYGGGTGAGCTGTTCTATAAGCAAGACTATCAACCCGAAGAAGCTGCAGCAGGTGGCCTGGGATTGAACCCAGTCCACACTAATCATTTCCCAGCTTCATGCAGTTGGTTACTTTGTTTTCACTTCCCTCATCTGTAATGGGGGAAACGGTCTCCACCACATCTCTACACTTAGAGTACTCAGAATTATGTCTGATGTACACTAAGTTCTCTAGCTTATTATTATTGTTGTTTCAGGCATAGTCAGAGTTGGGAAGAATTTCCTTTAAATTTCCCTTTTAACCTGCTAAAACATTCCACAAAAAACATGGGTTAGGAACACATCCAAAGTCTGTTTCTAGGTTCTGTTCTTGGCAAAACTGACTGGAAATTCAGGCAACTCCCATTTACTGAGTCCCTGCCATGAACACGGTGCTGTGTCAGCTGGCTGATGGCAGCTCCCCTGCTCTGATCAGTGCGCCTTTGCCCAGAGGCCTAGACCACTAGGAAGCTGGGCTCCAACTGGGGCTTGGAAGGAGGTCCCAGCTTCCCRCTGGCCAATCTGTTCAGAGAGGCTTTCCTTTAACAGTGCAGCTCAGCAATGACATCTCGAGCAAACTAAGAAGAAAACTGGCTCATACATGTATTGAAACACCACATTGTGCCCTAATATGTAAAATTTTTATGTGTCAATTTTAAAAATCAAAAAATTTAATTTAGCAGATGAAAAACAAGCTGGGCAATAAAAATATATATTGACTGGATTTGCTAACAGTCTGTTTCATGTCACCTCAGGAAAGTATACTGTCCAGAAACACTCCTTTCTCCTCACAGAAGCCCAAATCAGGAAAACCTGAAGCTTGAGTGAAATTCCCCCCAAATTTCCCAGGGGGAGAAATTCCAACTTTGACTTCTCTCCAGAAAATGTAGCTTAGTAAGTGGAAAGAGTGCTGGGATGAGAACTGGGAGATCTGGCTTTGGCTTTGAGGACATTCCTGGACTCGCCAGGTCTCCTTTGCTCTACTTGTCCCCAGGAAACTAAATGTGCACATTGAGCCATTTGAGACCCTCTGCGACCAGAGCCCATCTTTCTTCCAGCGTGGCAGATGGAGAAGCCCTAGAAGAGTGGCCGAGGGGTGAAGTTCACTCTATTACTCAGCTGCCACCAATGGAGCAGTTCCTTAATGCCCTCAGCCCCAAGAAATGGGCATGGCATGCATACCTGGCAGGGTTGTTCCTCAGGTGGAATAAGATGACACTGGGAGAGTTTTAGCCACACAAGTTCCCCGTCTTCCCTTTCTTCCCAGGTGAGCAGCACAACTCCAGAACAGTGCTGCTTTCCCAAAGGGCCTTGGCTTATGGGGACACATATCCTTCTCCACGTGTGTTAATCTTATCCACCCTTTAAGGCCCACTTTAAATGCAATCGTTTCCATGCAGCCTGCCTGGAATCCAGTCCAGCCACAGCACACTGCTTTTGAATGATCACAGCAGAACTGACAAATACATTCCATCTCCACTTCACATTACTAGGTGGACATCTTGTCTCATCTCCTCTCTCTGCTTGATTACCTTCCTGATAGCAAAATTGACATTTCTCCCACAGATTTTAGCATAGAAGAGGCCACAGCATCAACTAGGAACTTGCTAGAACTATAATCCTCGGGTCTACCTCACACCTATTGAATTAAAAACTCGGAGTAGGGTCCTGGAAATCTGTGTTTTAATCAGAACTCCAAGAAATTCTGATGCCATAGAAGTTAAAAAAAAAATGGAATAAGGGTTTGCTAAATGACTGAATGATAGAATGATGAATTAAAGTACAAATGTCATACAAATGCATGGATATAATAATAATTCATAGTCTTCATATAGTCTCAACCAATGTGTTGGTAAAATGGGATCTTCAGTTCCTTCTCACACAAGACCAGTAACTGGTTTAAGGTTACAACAAACCAAAAGCTTGCTGGCCAAAGCTCAAGGTCAGGGTGTGCTTGTGTGTTGGTGTAAAGTGAATGTGTGTGTGATAGACCTTAGCATACAGGAAAATTAAGCCCAGCAGAGGTATAAGGGTAGGTGAAAATGGCATTTTCGCCCCACGTTCTTCCCTTAGGCAACTACAGTTAAAGAGGCACCTTGTCTGATGAAAACTCTGCCAAGGATTTCCTGGCTCAAGTCTTTTCCTTCCAAAGGAAGGGTGGCGGGAAACCAACCCCAAAGTCTGATACTTTTACTTTTCTGGCCAAGTTGAGAGGCAATCAGAGGGAATAGTTTAAAGCAATAAAAAGTACAGTCTTGCTGAGAACTTCATGGCTCATTGTAATACCTGACTTCTCTCCTATACACCTTGGGCAGAGGCCAGGCTCCAAACAAAGAGCAAAACCAAAATAGCTCCTGAGAGGGACAGACTACACACCAGACATCTCCTGACCAAGAAGTCACTGCTGGACACAAATGAAGTCTGTTTTGCTTTCATAGTCTTGGTTCCTCCAGCACTTGGAAAGCAGGTACCAACTTGTAGAATGGGGAATCTTTTTTCACCAGCAGATGCTAGTTTCTGTCTGGCCTCCCATTTCCCCACCTGATCGTAACTGGACAGAGAATCAGCCAGCTCTTCCTCGGACCTTCTTTAAGTTCTTGGAGTGAAGTACCTGCTTCCCARACTACCTCCCTGCCATCTGGGACTCCACCACCCTCCCGGTTGCCCAGCCCTGACTTTGGTGACCAAACTTTGCTCTGCTGATGGCCCAGCAATCTGAGCTGGGCCATCAGCAACTCCACTCCTTTCCACAACTGATGCTGCCTGGGCTGGGCCCCAGAAAAACAAACTGTAGTTCTGTGGCTTTTTGGCAGCCCAGCTTCAACTTTTGTTTTATCAAGGGGTGGGAGGGGAATTTGAACTCTGTGGTTATCTGCATTTTAAAACATTTAAACAGTCAGTCCACCTGCTTGGCACGTCCTGTTCTTTGGTCAATTTTCTCAGCTCTACCCTTTCTAAAATTTCAACAATTCTGTGCCCTCCTTTGTTACTATGTATGCATATATGCAGGCCTAGTGGGGACATTAGCCCTGAGCCCTCTGCACTGGACTGCCCCTGGAATTCTTTTGGAAGGCAGTTCTCAGTCCTTGAAAGGGAAAGGTGAGGTGAGGGAGAGGTTCTGTTTGGAGGACCCACCCTTGCTGGCTATAAACGACAAGTGCATTTCACAGGGAGATACTTCCCAGACTAGAGTCCAGTTTTCTTGCCAGAGCAAACAACATTTCTAGCTGCTCTCCTGTCATATTGCTGATRTGGGGGAAACAGGGAGAGAGAAAGGAAAAGAGGGCAGGGTGATAGCAGGAGTAGTGACACAGTTTGACAGAAGAGTCCAAAGTTTGTTTCCAGATGGAGGCAGGGATGGGTGCTCAGAATCAGGGGTAACAGTTTCCTCTCTCAAGAGATACCTAGGAGAACTGCAAGGTCAGTACCTTGGGCTTCTCTGCCCTAACAACTCCTTCATCTTCTGATGACTGAACCCAGGGCACATTAGGCAAACACTCTATCACTGAGCTATATCCCAGCCCTTTTTTAAAAATTTGAGGCAGAGTCTCACCAGTTTGCCCAGACTGGCTTTGAGCTTAGAATCCCACTGCCTGTCTCCCTAGGAGCTGAGATTACAGGCATGTGCATCACACCCAGTGCATTCTCCCATTTTTTTGTTGAGCAGCCTACACCATCTCATCCAAGTTCCAGGAAAGTTAGAGTACAAATTATGTTAGTTGAAGACACCCTAGGTTGCTCCCCAAAGACCACAACATTACCACCATCAGGCAACTGTGGAAAAGGCAAGTGGTCCTGGCCTCAAACAAATCCATGGCAAGTGGAAGATTGTTTCCCATGGCATTTAGCTGACAGTAACAGATTAGATACACTGCAGAAGCCTCCACAGGGCTGGGATTATGGCTCAGTCTAGCATGCTTGAGGCACTGAGTTTGATCCTCAGCATTACATAAATGCAAAATAAGGACATTGTGTCCACTTAAAACTAAAAAACAAATATTAAAAAAAAAAAAAAAGAAAGAAGCTTCCAGATGCTTCAGTGTAAGAACTAGGGAAGGAATAAAGGGGCTGAAACTCAGGACTCCCTTTTACAAGGAATATTCCACAGGCCTGGGCCTAGGGGAAGACTATTGCTTTGAGATGGACCCTCAGAAAACAAAGGCAGCTCTATGAGGCTCTATGGGGAATTCTGAAAATCTCAATGGTTCCTACAATAAAATGACATTATGGCCACCTAGAGCTCAACCTGCCATTCACAGCAGCTCAGTGGCAGTAACCTCATTTAGCAAAGACTGGCCTGAGGAAGTCCTCAACACACACAGGAGAAGGCACCAGGGAGAAACCCATATTCCCCTGTCTTCAACCCATGCATTCAGAGAGCACCAGAACCCACCTCCTCTACCAAGGAGTCACTTCTGGCACCCAGAACCAGATTCTACTCACCAACACTGTCCCTAAGAGAATCAGAAAAGGCCAGCCAGCCCATGGTTTCCCAGTGAGCAGAGACAGTAACCAGGACCCAGGGATGCCAAGAACCTCCTGGGCAAGGACTTACACCAGAGTTCATAGTAGTAGTTGCAGCACTGAGACTGTCCACAGCAGTGTCCTGTGTCACAGATGTAGCTTTGATTGTTGGTACCCACACAGGCTTCCTTATCCTGAAAAAAAAAAGAAAGAAAAAGAAAAATCAAGAAACATTTCAACAGTGTAATCTGTAACTACTTAATTTTTGGTACCAGGGATTGAACTTAGGGGCACCTGACCACTAAGCCAAATCCTCAGCCTCCAGCCCTATTTTATATTTTATTTAGAGACAGGGTCTCACTGAGTTGCTTAGGGCCTTGCTAAATTGCTGAGGGTGGCTTTGAACTCACAATCCTCCTGCCTCAGCCTCCCRAGTCGGTGGGATTACAGGCGTGCACCATCATRTCCAGCTAATCTACAGCTTTTAAACACCACTTTTCTTCTTACCTYCCTCCCTCTTGGTTATCTGCATGTCCTCCCCCAAAACTATAACAGTGTTTACTCCTTAAGGAAAAAAGTTAAAAAGAACCACACAATAACAGCAAAGTTAAGAAAAACAAATAGGCTGACCAAGAGGGAAGAGAACCCAGCACACAAAGGTACAAAACAAGGTTCCCACTGGGCACAGTGGCGCCTGCCTGTAATCCCAGTAACTTGGGAAGCTGAGGCAGGAGGATTGCAAGTTTGAGGTAAGTCTCAGCAACTTAGGGAGACCCTGTCTCTAAATAAAAAATAAAAAAGGGCAGGGGATATGGCTCAGTAGTAAAGCGGCCCTGGGCTCAATCCCAGTACTCAAAAATAAACAATAACAACAAAGAAAGAAGAGGCTCCCCTTAGACAGGACAGAAAAGGGTGGCCTCACTTTCTTTACATCCAAGCAGAAACATTTTGTGTTCCTGTGTTAAACTCAGCTGGTAGGAAGGTAATGATTCTTCTGTAATTAGTAGTATATTCTAAATAAAACCAGCTTTTCTGTGCAACTTCCTAGAGCAATTAATGCAGTAAGGACTCCAAGATTAGCATTTAGTCAGTCATTCTGCTCTCCTTTCAAAACATGATTTCCAAGGTTATTTACAGTGAGATTCAAAAGAGGGATTTCTAAAAAATCTGACCCTCAAATTCTTCAAAAAAGGAGCAACCCAATCAGGTGACCTGGTTTAATTTCAACTTGCTAGACATTTTTGCTTATCAAATAATCTCTTCAGAATCCTGACTAGATCCAGCATTCATACTGTCCCGTATCAGGGACAGCTACATAAAGGACACTGCTGAGTAACCATCTAGCAGTTTGCCAAATTCTATTCATAGCACTGGGAGATGGGGATGGAGGTGGACATTTTTAATATATAGTTCACATTTAAGATATGAAATGACCTATAAGGCAACCCTAACCTCAGTCCAATATTGGCTTGGAGCTACATAATGCACCTAATATTTTTAATTAGTAGTTAGTAGAACTGTGGACTGAACCCAGGGCTGCTCAACCACTGAGCTACATCCCCAGCTTTTATTTTGAGACTGGGTCTAAGTTGAGGAAACTGGCCTTGAACTTGTAGTCCTCCTGCCTCACCCTCCTGAGCTGCTGGGATTATAGATGTGTGCCACTGTACCTAGCTAGTTTGGTATTTTAGAAACGGGGTCCCGCTGTGTTGCCTGGGCTGGTCTTGAACTCCTGCATGTAAGACATTCTCCTGCCTTTGTTTCCTGAGTAGCTGGGACTATAGGTACGTGCCACCATGCCTGGCTTCATGCATATAATGAAACTTACAAGTCATCTGCTATAGTTGGCTTTCAACACAGCTTTATTCGTTTACTGGACATAGTCTTTGTGTCAGCCATTGTGTTAGGTAAAAGACATATAAAGATGAAGACAATGGTCATATCTTCATCTTCAAGAAGCTCAAAGTAAAGAAGGAAAACCCTGCTCAGCAAAGAAACTCAAACCRCAGGATTGTATTTGCAACTGCTCAAGCTGACCCTGCCCATGGCGCACATCGGGGCGGATGGCTGCCAGTGGAAACTCAAGTCACATGGCTGGGTTCTCCTCTCTGTGTCTGGCTTTACTACACTGTCTACTTGGCTACAGGCATAAAAAAGCACTCCAGTGACCGTCCACAGGGCTAATGGCCAGGTAGCCACAAGACAGTCACCTGAAGCCACAGGGAGAAGAGAAAAGTATCAGAGCTGAACACCAGATCCCTGGCCTAGTACAGGTCTTTACCACATACCCTCACATGAGTCTTAGTCTTTAAAAGTCTCATATTCTGGTATAAAGGAGTTTAGGAAGAAAAAACCACAGAGGCTATTTGTGAACTCTGATAATAATGCATAATAAAGGGTTCTCCTTTTCTTCACCCTCCCCAGCTCACCAAAAGCAAAAAGACACTAGCAGGTAGCTGTGCAGTYGGAGGCCTCCTCAGGGCCCAGTGCAGATGGAGAAAACAGAACTACACGTGCTGCTTCTGCTATAGCCAGCCTCTCGGACTTCAGAGCAAAACACTCCTTTGACATAGATATCAAAAAGTTTCTCCCAAGTTTACCAGGCCCTGCAAATGCCATTCTTCTGGCACTGGCTTGCAAAAGCACAGTTCAAAGTGTCCACACAGTTTCCAAAAGAGGCTGTGCTGCCTACAGCCAGCACATAAAGGAATCCAGTGACACTTCTGCCAGGGGGAAATTCACCAGATGAGGTCCGGGCTCTGACCACCAGGTGGCCAACTGGTCCCCGTTCTCCCCCCCCCCCCCCCCCCCCGTGAGGCGTGCAACAGAACACGTCAGAAACCTAAACAAGTGGTGTCCTCTTGACCTACTGTTGTCAGCTTCTCTCTCGCTCTTCTGTCATGAGACAGGAGCCTGGTTAAACAAGACCCACTCAGCGCTGCTGCTCCGCCTCCACTTCCCCAGGGAAAGCAGAATGCTGGTGGCATCCTTTAATCCARTGCCTCAAACACACTTTAACCCAGTGTACCTAGTTCCCTGTGTTCTGCTTCCCTCAAATGAAGAGTTCCCCAGCTGCCTGGGTTGGTCTTGGTTATGGGGCCTGTCATTTTCTGCTGCAGGGGGAATAAAAGAAGATGGGTAGTTAGGAAGAGAGGAAGTGGGCTCAGGTGCCATTAGTAAGGAAGAAGTGAAGGACTGGGCGGTGTAAGTGTGCGGAGAGTCCCTTCAACAAGACCTGCTGTAGGAAAAGAAACCTGGCAGCTCTGTCACTATGGAGGAACACAACTTTGGCAAGTTATTCGGTGGTGCTAAGGCTGGTTAAGATGATCTCTAACATCTCCTCAACYCTAAGCTAAGCATCACCGTCTGCCCTAAGCCTTTTATCCTGCCCACTCCAGCATCCCATCTCAGACACAGCAGCCTCAAGCCAACGCAAGAGCTCAGGACGTCTATGCCTCCTTTTGCTCAAATCAACAGCAAAGAGCAGTCTTGTGGAAAAGCTGCCCAGCACTCTTCCACCTGGAGCTTAATCATGGGTCACCTAAAGGGCTCTCACCTCCAGGTGGCTCAGAATGTACAAAGCTTAATGTGGTTAAGAGTCGGTTGGATCTGGGTGTAAGCCCAGCTTTTACACTAGATTTATTAACTGTGTGACCTTGAATAGTTACTTAACTTCTCTGTGCTCTTATTAGCAACAATATTCTATAAACCATTACTGCTCTTAGAAGACCATCCAACACTTTGCCTTCACAGTATTATTTCAAGACAGTAAAGCTCACTGTGGCAATGCAGGCTGCTCCATTCACACGAAGAAAAATAGAAGAAAGAACTGGAGAGAATAAAATGGAAAGGTGAATATAAAAAATTCTCAGCACTCTTTATGATGATCCTTGCTTTTCTACAAAGCATTTTCAAGCACGTTATACACATTATGTTATTCAGGTCAAGTCCTGAATAGTAGACGGCAAATATCCCTCCCACTCCCYTTTTCCAGGACGAACTGTGATCTATCTTCCCAAGGGCTGGAGCCATGTCTCCTTACTTCCTCTGCGTTCCCAGGACAAGCACAATGCTGTTATGAGACGATGGCTCTGTCTTATTCCCCCAAAGGCAGGGAAAGCTAACAGGAAGACAGCACTGGCTACATATCAGTACTATTCTAAATGCTGTCCAGTGATTCTTTCTTTAAAACTTGACAGCAACCCAGTGAAGGAARTAGTAACAGGAAGTGATGCTCAGAGAGGCTAAGTCTACATGCTAGGGTCACAGTTAGGAAACAGTCTCATCAAGTCTGTCTGACTCCATACCCTGAACTTTAAAAAAAATTAATTAATTTTAATTAGATATACATGACGGCAGAATGCATTTTGATTCATTGCACACTGTTGCTGCACAAATTTTCATTTTTCTGGTTGTACACGATGTAACATCCCACCATATATGCAATTATATATGTACCCAGGGAATGATGTCCATCTCATTCCACTGTCTTATACCCTGAACTTTTAACCATTCAGCTACAGCTTCCTTGAGTAATGTTATACCTCTCCGGCTGCTTAAAAAAAACAAACAAACAAAAAAAAAACTCAACCAAGCAAAGCCAACGATTCACTTTTTATGGAAAAGATAAGGACTAAGCCCTTGTGGACTCCCAGTGTGGAATGTGGGGCCTTCATTCTTTCCTTCAACATTTATGGAACACTTCACCGCACCAGCACTAAGCTGGGGTGGGGGACAAAATGGGCAAATGAGCAAAAAGAGACATGGCTGCTGTCCTCATGCAGCACGTAGTCTAACCAAGGACAACGAAATAATCACACAAGATCAAACTGCAGCTAAGCTTATAAAAGATCTCAAAGCTAATCAAGAGGGTCCAGAATGGCTTCTGAGAGGAAAATAAGCTTGAACTGAGATTGACAGAATGGTCAGAAAATCATAACTAAAGAAGAGGGATAGGAAGCACATTCATGGCAGAGAAAATCAGGAGTTCTTTGGCTAGAAGGAGRTAGTTAAAGAAGCAGGTAGGCAAGAAGGGACCAGACAGTATAGGAAGGTAAACAACATCAGATTTGCATTTTACAGATATCTTTTTTTTAAAAAAAAAAACTTTTTAGTTGTTGATGGACCTTTTATTTATTTATATGTGTGTGGTGCTAGGAATCTAACTCAGTGCCTCATGCCTGCTAGGCAAATG